ATCGGGAAAGTTTTCAAACCTCCTCAGTCTCGCTGGAGCTACTGTCACTGAAACTGGTGTCGTCACTGAGCGAAGAATCACTGTCCGAATTCTCTTCGAGATGTTCAGCAAATGTATGGGGTTGGAGCATCAGCTCCTCCTTCGTCTTGTATTCCATCATGAAGATCATGGCCGGCATAAGTAAGGAGCCGAGGACCTGAAAAAAGCACTATGAAGCATTGAAAACAAAAACAATTGAAATAGTCAGGTAAGAAGCTCAAAGCCAAATAATAATCAAATATTTATCCCCTGAGTTGCATTCTGTTCCCTTACTCCTTCTTCAAGGTATCCGTTGGACAAGGGTCAATCATAGGGTGAGACGGGTTTTGATGACAGGCCCTCCGCCTCCCACACAAGTCCCCGAAATCCAAGTGCTGCACGAAGGCAGGCAGTAAGGGGAGGGTGAGGCTATTAAAAACGATTGAAATGACAAAATTCTCAGAATCTTCGAGACAACTCTGTCACAAAAACCTTCCCAAACTCTTAACAACTTTCCTCCTCTCTTTCAGAAAAACGGCTCATTCCATCAAAACCACGCTACATCCTGAACTCTACATGCTGTAAAGAGTGAACATCGTAAATAAAGGGATTTCAATAGGAACCTTGAGGTTGGCATTGTTTCTCATGTGAAGTCCACCTTGCCAGAGATCCGAGAGAAGAAGTTGACAGCTGAAAATAGAGCATTTTATTTACTGACTAGTCCTTAGAAATCTGCAATTTTAGACGTATGCAGTTCTTCCATTCAACCGGAAACTCGAATTGTGGGGCAAATGAAGCCAGCTTCAGCAGCTTATCATGCTGTTTATGTATATGTAGGCGTAACTCCTCCGCCCAACAACGCCTCATGTATTGTATAGACATCTGAAGAAACGCCAACGAAAGCTAGAATCCAATTCCCGCAGATAGGGAAGACCTGGGTGGATGTGGTGAGCGGTAAATGTTCACACAACCACGAGCTCGGCCCGAGGGTCAACCCCCGGAACCCTCGAATTTTACCACGTCGACCAAGCTTCCCATCCATTCGAGGTCGATACTAGACTTGTATGGCTGTCTTACCTACACAAGCTAGCCCTACAAGCCACTGTGTAGGGAAAATCGCATTCACCTACGAAAAAAAACACGACTCATGTAAAGAGAAAAAGATTGCGAGCGCTTCGCAGAAGGGATTGTTCAGCGCCATATGTTCTACTGTTATGTTATTACCAATTGGCAATTTTTCGCGTGTCGGTCGCGTGGAACCGCCATTTTTCTGGCTCGACGTGTTTTTGACTAATATAACCTCAGTGGTTGCAAAACTTTATCGTAGACTCCAAACTTAACTAACCATAAGGCAAGTAATCGATGGTGCTAAACTTGAACATGGCATCTATTTTTGGCGCTGTCCACATCGAGCCGCAATGTCGCCAATGGGCTGAAGAGGCCGTGGCTATGGAAGTGATGGCGGATTACGTATGCTGGAGTGTTCGCCGTTGCACGACTCGTTTGCGCCGTCTTGGGCTTCGTGTTGGTTTATGCCTTTGTTTGTCATTACCTTGAATACCTTGATGTCCGCTCTTCAAGGGTGTTCACGTCAAGGGTATTTGTCATTAATATCACGTTAATAATAATTTTTATTTATTTGCTGGCATTGCACGGCCCGATCGAGTAGAGACAATTTCGGTCATTGCGTATTACATTCAATGTTTTGTATCTGCGCAGTTCAGTTTTTATCATTACCCCTTCATCGAATGGTGTAGATTGAGGTTCACGTGAAAATTGTGCACTCAGCAAAAGTTCCTCATCCTACTCAACTTGATGAGTAGGCGAAACATATCGCACAATCAAGTTTAGCAACAAGTTAGCTCGGCTGGCGTTTCGCCCGTGCCGCCGTATTCAGGGTCATGAAAAGGGTTTCACCTGCCAGCTCACAAGCAATCATTGCTCTAATAAGGGAACTATCCTAAGATGTTAAGATTCCCACTCCTACGTATGATCCATGACTGAACACATAGCTCAAAAAAAGCAGCTTATGACTGTGCATTTCGGTTGTCTGCTGTCACCTGCTTACCCTTAGTCCGCCGAACATGAAACTCTACACTACAGGCTTCACAAATGACGACGGCCTCAATCTTGTAACTAGCAGCTTATAGTGATAAATGATTGTTGATTAGCTTCAATCTGTGACAGTTGATATAAGGAATTGCATCGGCTAATCATTTTGTTGGCAGAAAACTATTACATTTTGTTGGAGGTTGTCGTCGCTTGTGTTGTGAAGTCTGTAATGATCAAGCACCTGGCCGTAACTTACGAAGGTTACTTCTTTCAGATACCATCGCACGAAACAACTACCTTATCAGATGTAACGCCTCAACTGAGCTAGGACAATCCTTGAATCACCTTTGATAGAATTCTGTGATATATCGTCCTTGGAAAATTTTAGTTCAGTAGCTACCAGGGAGTGTTTTTTTTACCGTAGAATAGTAGGAAACCAACTCACCATGGATGAGCCAAAAATTGTCGATTGTTGTTCAGAGCAGCTAATGAAAGGCAGGTCTCGTTTCCCCAATTCGTCAATTCATAGGTGAGAAGTTGCAGAGTGATGTCCTTGTCCTGTTCAGTACAGTACTGTAGAGCTTCAATCGACAACTCGCGAAATTCTCTTAAAAGTCGATTATCGGTGAACAAGAGAAAAGTTAGAAGCGCACAATCACGTACTCGCTGTTCCTCCTCAATTCTTCGCAGATTTCCAGCTCCAAATAATTATGCGAGGCATCGTGTGCAAGCGAGTCAAAGAGTCTGCAAGCCACCAGCGCCTGAGAAGAAGGAGGTTTACATTACCTAGTATATTACAGATTATTTGAAACGTTCGAAGGGAAAAACAACTAATTGAAGGAGTTCCCAGAACTCTTTCTGTGATAATCTAATTTCGTCGCCGTATTTCCCCAATTGAAACGCCGCTAGACCGACCATCCTTGCATCTGAGATCCAGCAAGCGATTTTCCTTCGTCGTCTTTTCTACCGCTAGCAGTCCCGAGCACACCAGAAAGGCACTTCGTACATCTTTCACGCCGCTCTGCTTCGGGCATTTCCGCACCACAGTTG